GAGGAGGGAAGTGAAAACAAGGACTGGGCTAGATGATGTTTCTACATATTCTTGACAGCCAAACTCAAATAGAGATTCGACACTTCTTGAGGGTATTATTACGTTTCTCAAATAAACTTATTCTACCGTTTTATGACACAGCTATTTCATGCCTTCACACTGCTCAGTCTCTGGCCCACTTTCCTCCCACTGGCTCAGAGATGTTCTCACCACCTGCTTCACTGAGAAATCAGAAACATCCTCTCTTCTCACAGCCAGGGAAGGTTCTCTCCTCCCATCAGAGACCAGCCCCTCTGGATGTGCTCCGGGGTCATCCCATCCCACCTTCTCAAGGTCCTCAGTCCTTCTGCACCTGCCCCTGAATTTCTCCCTCTTTACTGGAACTTTATTGCCAACATTATTATTTTTAAATTATTATTATCTAAAAGGAAATTATTATCTTATTTAAAAAATAAGCTACTGCCTTCTCTCTCTTCTCATCTTAGCTAAACTTTTAAACAATTTTCTGAGTATACTGTGTCTCCTCTTCCTCATTTCCCACTTAACCATTCTTCCCATTCCGGTTGGTGTAGACCTCTTCTACTCTGTCAGCTTTGTTCCTGTTAAGACCACTGAAGACCTCAGTGCTGCCCAGCCCACTGGGGCTTTTCAGTCCTCTTGTGGTCAGACTCCTGAGCAGTGTCAATACAGGGGACAACTCTTCTTCTTGGCTCTTCCTTCCTCCTTCCCCCACCTTTGCCTCTGTGAATCACACTCTTCTGGTTTTCCTTCTATTTCTCTTATGTCTCTATTCATCTCTGATCTGGACCCAGTTCAGAATATGGTATCCTCATATTCTTTTATAGCCACGGCTTTAAATAACTTGGATATGCTGGTGGCTATGTACGTATATCTCTAGCCCACAACCCTTTTCTGAGCGTCCGACTCATATCCTGTAGCCTACCTGACATCTCCACTCAGATATTTCGCAGGAATTTCCAGCTGAACACAGCCACAACTGAACTCTTGATCCTGTCCTTCATCTTACCTTCCACACCAACCCTATCCCCAGCCCTCCAGTTTTCCCAGTCAAATTGCATCTGTTCACCCACATGTTCAAACAGAAACCTGGATGTTGATCTTGACACTTCTTCCTTCATCAACCCCCCCATCTGATTGATTACCAAAATATTTCTCAATTACTTCAACCTCTCTGCATCTCCACTAACAGCATTCTCTTCCAAATCATCAAAATCTCTTCTTTAGTCTCATTTCCACTTGCTTTTCTTTAATTCATTCTCCTAGCAGCAGTCAGGGTAATTTTTTTTAAAAAATTAGGAATTAGATGATATCACTCTGGTTTGTGTCCCACCATACTTTATATGAATCTAAATAAATTCCTTATTGTGGTCTGTCACCACCCTCCCATTCTTCACAC